CCCTAACCCTACCCTAAACCCTAACCCTAACCCTAACCTAACCCTAACCCTAACCTAAACCCTAAACCCTAACCCTAAACCTAACCCACCCTAACCTAACCCTAACCATAAACCTAACCCTAACCCTAACCTAATCCTAACCCTAACCTAACCTGATGATATATTTTGGTAAATACCGCTTTAATGTTACGTGCTCTGTTTTCGTTTTAATTTCTCTAGTCGTAGATAATTATCATTAATTCGATCTGGCACAATTGGCCTTAATCACTCCGTTAATAAATCAATAGGCTGTCCATTTAAGAAATATTAAAAATCCCCGGCTGATGCATTGGATCGCTGTAATATATGTACTACCTGAACAACTACTGAACTAGTATACTTAAAACTTTCTTCTATCACATGTTTGTTCTGTACATCTAATGTTACTATTGATATCCAATTGATCATGCCCCTGTAAATTGGCGTGAATTCTGTAATTATTATTCAGAATAATAAAATAATAATAATTATTATTATCCTGTATAATATACGATATTCTTGTACACAGTTGACATGAACTATGCTTAGTATGTGATTTGTTATAACTCTAAGTATTTTTTATATGTGATTTGATCCTATTGTTAATCAAAATGGGTGTACATCAGTATATAAATGAGCGTATTTTAGATTAGGGTCGTCGTCATAGTGTTTTGGGGCTAACAAATCTTCACTTATACCTGTCTTTGTGTTCTTACTTTCGCGTCGTTGGAATTGCAGAGGTCCTTCGTTCCGAGTATAAGTGATAAGCGTTTCCGACACAACAATCAGCGACGATCAGATATAACAGTGTTATAAGAACCATCTCAGGGTTTGGTCTAGATAAATATGGTGGTTGCTACATACTTATCTTGCCAGTGTACTCTCCTTCCTGATCTCGTTGTAGTTTCTGTTGCCGCTAAACTTTGATGTGAAGTATCTTTTGTTGCAGGTAGTTTGTATGGTGCTTGTTCTGCTGCGGATTCAGACGGTTTTATCTTTATCTGTTTTTCAGTGTATTCTAAAAACGCTGTTTTTACTCTGTCGATATTAACAGCGTCGAGCTTTTGATGTTTTGCTATATCTTGATAGTTTATATCGAATATTGGGAAGGTATTGATATTTAATCTCGATAGTGCATCCGCTGCATCAGAAGAGTTTTTCTTGAGTACCATATGAAGCGGTGATGCCCACGAACTATCGGAGGGGCGTATGATACCCAAGTCTATCATTTTGTTGAATTCGTTTTTTGCAGAACCAGACAAGAGGGGTCAAAGTGTCTTGGACTCACGAACACTGGTGGTCTCTCTGTCTTTATGTGATGTACGACGGTGTGTCGCTTTGCCACTTTTGAAACTCGGTCGTAATGCGTCCAAAAACTGATTAACTAAATTGATGTATTTGACGTTTGATTCATAAATGTATGTACATCTCATTAGATGTAATTCCTCTAAGTTCACTGCTATGATCGGCAAGTACCAGTTTCCGGTTTCTAACGTCTACGAGTATTTTATGTGATTGCAAGAAATCAACACCGATTATGGGAACAAGAACATCAGCTATGATGAAGCCTCATGAAAAGTTGGGTTTAGGACCGAGATGTAGTTGTAACAACCAGACTCACACAGAAATTTACATAGTGGATTGAGTATCTAAATTACAATGATCAGACGTATAATACAATATAGGTATCATTACCAAGGTTTGATTTGATGATTTCGAATAAATTGAGCATTGGGTTGATTGTTTAAATAAAAATAATATATTTGTAATATCCCAATGAGTAGAAAATTAGATTTTCCGACGTTTTGTGACTCAGTGTAAGTCACTTCTTCAGAGTAAATAAATTACCAAATGAAAATTAATCCAAGTTTAAATAGTACAACGGAACAATGCAAGAACAGTATTTGATCAATCAAAAACAGGTCTGAACAAGTTGATGTCATGTCATTCCTGTCAAGGTGATTTATAACTGATATGCATGTAAATTTGTGTGTGTATGTGTGCATTGTTTAAGAATGAAAACTTATGTGACCTTTATGGCAAGAAAGGATAGAGTTTAAATTTGTAATATGATAGTGTGAAATTGTAAATACGATCAGACTGAATGGTTAGGATAGATGGTCCAAGTAGGATGTATGGTAAGGCCTTCTTTTCTATTGAGAGAAGTAAGATTAAGCATTATATGGAACGCCTCAGCTACCCTCCTTTGTTTGTAGTCGGAAAAGCCTTTTTGCAATATTTTGATATTTTTAAAATCGATTTGGTGGTTGTTGAAAATGGCATGAACTGCTATTGCCGATTTAATTTGAAGTTGGTTCAATTCTACAGGATTGTTAGGAGGTTTCTTTGTGTACCTAATATGTTCTTTGGCTCTAGTCACGATTTCGCGGGATGACTCTCCAATATAATGGGCATCACAATCGATACAACCTCATTTGTAGACGCAGTTCTGTGTGGACATGAAAGGAATTTTTTCTTTCAGGCGAACTAAAGTATTACGTAGTGTGTTCGTTGTTTTGTAATATACTTTAATTCTGTGATGTTTTAAGATTCTTTGGATTTCTTCTGTTGTGCCATGACGGTATGGTAGAAGTGCAGTACCAATCCATGGCATTTCATTCGAATCATTATTATAACGTAATAAACTGTTTTGTTTTAATATGCTTCTAATAATCTTCATAGGAAAATTATTAAATTGGGAGATGCTGATTACATTCATTTGTTCTTTTCGTTTGTCTTCCTCTGATGTGATGATCTTGTTAGCTCTTCTAAAAAGATTTAGATGAGTCTTTTTTATAACAACAAATGTATCGTCTACATATCTAAGCCAAATTCGTGGTACAATGTTGCGGGAGAAGATATTTGATTATATGTATGCCATAAAAGGTTGGCTACAATCGGGGACACTGGGGATCCCATTGCCACACCGTTAGTTTGTTTGAATAACATACCGCTAAAAGTAAATAGCGTTGAATTTAAGCAAAGTTTTAAGGATTTCATGATTAGACTGATGCTCAACGGGCATCTGTCAGGAAGAGTATTGTCGTTCTCAAGTAAACCGCTAATGAATTCTAAGCATTTATCAATGGGAACACTTGTGTATAAAGAAACGACATCAAAGCTTACCATGATTCCATTCTTCTCGATGATTAATCCGGATAATTTTGATTTAAAGTCATATGTGTCTTTAATTATATTATGTAGGTTGAGCTGTAGTGGTTTTAATATATTACTTAAATATTTCGATAATGCATATGTTGGGGTGTTTGTGAAGTCTACTATCGATCTTAGAGGAATATCTGGTTTATGAACTTTTGGTAAGCCATAAAACCGTGAGACATTACATTATTTGGGATGCAAAGCAAACCAAAGCGAGACCCCAATGATTCTCTGAAGAAGTGACTTACACAAAGTCACGAAACGTCAGAAAATCTAATTTTCTACTCATTGGGATATTACAAATATATTATTTTTATTTAAAATAATACAATAGTTTAATGAGCTTACTATAACCAAACACAAAATCCCAACGCTGACCCTATCCCTAACACTAATGAATTTCTTTTTTGTCAAAATATTCAATTAATACCGATTATTCATTCTTGTATTTCGCTAATTTCTGCCTGCTATACGCTTTTTTTAATATTTCCTAAGTAATCTTTATGCGCATTCATTTTTTTAATTCATGTAATTTTATTTTTCATGTAATATATACATGTTTTTACATTTTCTGACGTACAAGTAGGTAACTTGTGAAAATGAAAGTAAATTTGATACATTATATGAAGTAAAATTTCTTTAGTTTAGTCAAAATATGTTGAAAGATATGAAAATATCAAGGAGTTCACAATTAACAATGTTGATACAGATTTCGAATAAGTTGGTAAATGACTATAATTGTTGTCTGAATGCTTATATTGTGTTTGGTTTGGTATGATCGTTATTTCCATAAGTTCAATATTTGTGTTGATCAACGTACATGGTGCATAGACAAACATTAAATTAGTATTATTTTCATACATTTTATAATATAATTGTTCTGGTACAAAACGAGTTCTCAATCCATATGGATAATGAATCGACAGTGGAACAAAAATCTCTGCAACTAACAATGCTGCGTCCACGTTTGTACAATACTTCTGTGTGGGTACAAAAGCATAATAAAACACACCTGAATCGACATCGAATCTCAGTTTGACAGGTTGACCGGCAGTTGATTGTGGATATGTACGACTCAATGATTTCAACTGCATGAGATAGAAGAAATAACGAAATGAAACAAGCTACTGCATTGATGTGAAATACATATGCAAGTTATTCAATTTGAAGACAGTGTAAATCATGACCTGATAGCTTGATAGCCAAAGGAAGTACGAAAACTTTGGAGAGATATTCTAGGATGAAATAGTTATTTAAATATTTCTAAAGGAACCATGACTAATTAGTGTTTTATCGTATCTGACATACATGAATGATCAAAGATTAATGATTAAGTAGTTAGGTGACTGCAGTAAGAAGTAAAATGACTCTTCTAAAATTAATATCACTACTGAAATGGAGTCAGCTGTTGATGATTTTCGACCAGATATTTTTGTTTATAAGCTTACTTTAGAACTCTACCATAAATGACATTGTAAAAAACTATCAGAAACGTACTGAATTCTTTAAATCAATTGTTATTTTACTGAGCTTTGGTCATTAGGGTGTTATTATTAATGGCAAACTTTCTCGATTTGTTTCATGAGATGGGTTATCGTAACATGATGAAAATATTTTCAAATTTAAACAATTAGTCCCTTTGATAAATTTCGATAATGCAATGAGAAGACGAAAATAGTTTCACTAAGCGCAGCAGACGATCGTGTTATGCTGGCGGTTAACGAAAATTTGATATTGCCTAATACTGGAGTTTTCTGAAGTTATCCAAAGCCAAACAACGAGGGAGTAAATATTGTATAATCGTAAAGTTAAGCATTAATATGTATTGAAAATTTAAAGAAATGTAGTTCAGAAGAGAAAATAAACAATCGGACGCTCACACAATCTCTTTTCGTTAATATCAGTGAACAAGAAAGTATGTGTGATATTATTTCTGCAGAGAAATCAAAGGCCACACGAAATGTGTACGAAATGGTCCAACTCAAAAACCGTCATCACGATAAATAATACTCCATAATCATGTTTCTTTGTCGTAAATTCTGTTAAGTTGAGCGTTCTACTAAGTCGAATTCCTTAGTAGTTTACGAAGGCTTTCGATTTCACCAACCCTCGATATATCTTAACTTACGCTTATACATGATCTTAGAAGATTGTTGACCATGTGATGGTGTACAGTGGAAATTTGTCGATCACAGAGATGTGTGTTTAGGCAAAAGACATTTGAATAGTGGTTAATTTCTCTCATTCCTTGTTCTTTTTACAACTAGTCTTTTTTGATTGAACTACAAAACTCTGATGTCATGTAATGATGGTGAACATTGCCCACAAAAGAAAACGTATGCATTGGTTAGTCAGTGGACTATAATAGTTCCTGCTCCATACAAAATAGCGGGAGTGTATATTTAGAATTCTATTAAATAAACGAAGAAAGCATTGTTGAGACAGTTGATTGTAACAAGGACCAACATGACTGAGGTCATTAGTTCTGAAGAATACTTTAAACAGTTCAGTTTAGAGAGTAGTAATAGTAATACTTAAAGAGGTAATCAATGGACAGTCGGGAATTAACTAGACTTTATTTGTCCAACATTGATTGGAGATCTGATATATGAAGAAACTTACAGGAGAGCAAATACCGTACACTAGGTGGGTGTATCACAGTTTTTCAGTTACGCGTACTTGATAAATCGGTTTGCATAAATTCCTTCTCTGTTCTTGTTCACTTAACTGTAATATTTCGGATAACATGAAATTCAAGCAGAATGTAGATAATGAGGACTGGAAGAGGGATTTCAGAATATGTTCCTTACAAAGTAATTGTATGAATCGCCGACTAAGCTCTCTGTGAATAAGATAACATAAACGCTTAATTTTATAAGCAATATACAAGATATTTGAACTCAATATTTACTGTCATGTTAACATTTTCCTCAACTATGCATCACTTAATTTATTAGCAGTTTTATTTGTGTGAGCTGTTTAGGCATAAACACAAAACGTTTTATTGGGTGAGATCTTATTTTCTGAGTTTATCAGGGTATCCCGACGTGAGTTTGCTACACTTAGTATTGCTGCCAAAGGGGAGGCGGAAAGGATGCAGTTCTGCGGACGCCGTTGGGAGGCCGAGAAATGGGTGATTAGTTAGTGTGGTTCGGCTTAGGAAGTAGACGTAGATTAAACAACAAGTGCTATTTCCCCACCTGATTTCTCGCCTACAACCATACGAGTGTGGTAAATACCATTTATTTCCTAAATTTATACTGATGGTACTGTCCAAAATGAAAATTATAAATTCGTTTGGCGTGCAGAACAAAATGACTCCAATAAAAAATTGACATAAATCCAAAAAAAGTTTTATCAATAATAAGACCTACGGAAAAGTTACTTATATATAAGTTGGGAAATAATTCATAGTCGTCCCAATGTGTCCAGGATTCGAAGTTCCTGTCGGCTGCATTCATCACAGCGTTACATTCGACCGTATTTATTGAATCTGGATTGCCATCAGGACGACACCGACCGAATTCTGTTAAAAATCGTCCGCCACCAGTGTATTTAACTATACTTCTAACATTATTAAATGCATAATTCAAGAGAAGCTAAACACAAGCAATATCAATGTGAACACTGATTAGGAATGTGAACGATTATTGCAATAAAACTAGACTACAATAAACTGCATACACTGCGTCAAAGCAATAACACATCAATCATTTTGTTCATTGACTTATCATCAATTACATTTATTACTGAGCCGTAACAAATCGCAAAACATTAGACGTTCAATGTTCTCCAATTTTCAATGGTTATCATTATATTTACGTTCACGAATTTTTACTTGACCGAGTGAGGAGGGGAGGCATAAAATTAAGTAATCTCGAATTATGTAGTTTGATTACAACGTGGCTGGTAGGGAAATTAGACAATTCTACAAATCACAAAACCAGTCATTTCTTGACAATCCATAAATAAGAATTCACATAACTCCTAATTGTCAATTCAATAGGATGGAAGTGAACTGATACATGAAAGTGACATCTCGTCAGCATCACTCACTCCTTTCGTGTTACTATGCACCACTGTGTTAATGGAAATCCAAATAAATCGCCTTCTGTTCATGCACAAAACATTCCTCTAATGTTCCGTTTTGCTAAAACCTATAAAGCTTTTCAGTCCATTCAAACTTAGTAATTCAGTAATCACCACAAATATATGAAGAATGAAATTAGTTATGAAATTCCACACAGTATGAAGGATGGTTTGAATACATTGATTGTTAGTGTATTCATGAAATCACATCATGTCAGTTCATTCAATCATCAAACATTTAGTTTATAAACTGATTAGCACCTATTACTATTAATTACAGTTTTCATGTCAAATCGTAGTGTTTAGATTTTCGTTTCTAGATCACTCTACAGTACTTTAATTAAGTTCAGTTTGTTTTCTGGTGTTTTGTTCACCCCAATCAGTTCATCATTTATTAAGGACACATTAAACATTTATCCATATCAGTTGCAACTACAATTTGTGTTTTAAATGAAATACTCACTGTTTTGTCTAACATCATACATTCTGTATGTGCAGTCCGCAAATGGGTGCTCGAAGCAAACAAAATAACTTATTTGTCAATTTTATTTTTACAATCAATGTCATACAAGTTGGTGCGAATGACAGAATAGAATTGCACTTCCCCTTGCATCTATCGATGTAATAATCGGATAAGAATTTCACTTTACTTCATAAACTGGACATTGTGTCAACACAGAACATGTGTACGATTGTATGCAAAATCCTACGGTGCTTATGAATGGGTTTCAATAAATGACTGAGTTTAATCATGGCCACAAATAACTGATTTAACTTTGAAAGATAACACAAAATACATATTAATCCAATGCTTATATTTCCACTTCCACTGTTAGTTTATAGCTGGTTTTGGCTAATTCACTATATCTCAAGAATACTTAGATGATAGAATTCATACTTATCAGTGCTTTATAGAATTATTCGTCATTGTTGTTTATTCATCTACGCTCAACTTCAGACACACCCATTACTATATCTTTTGCTAGTTAGGATGATTCATAGAACATAATTAGTGTTCCATTATAGAAGGAATGTAGAAAGCTCTCATCTTATTTAACTTGTTTTAATCAATTACAAAGTACACAATCGTTCTAATAATTTTGCAAACTTATTCATCATCATCATCATATTGTTTACTGAGAGTATTTCCATGGTGAAAATAAATGAATTGGTGATTGGTAATTGATAAATATGAGCTAGTTTATGGAAGTTTTTCAACCAATTCTAAGTAAATAAATTCTGAAGTACGTGAATGTTTTGGTGTTGTTTTCATCGTTGTTATTATTTTAACTATTATTATTATTATTTCTATGTTTGGTATCCAATCTATATATTGTGAGCGGATCGGTTTTCACAGAGAATCAGCAACAGTGGATGTATTGCTTAAAACCAGAATTATTTATATGAGTGTTTTGTCCTATAACGGAACACCTCAGAAATATTCACCCACAATTACGACAAATGTTATGCGCAAACTTTCATCCCTGAAGGTAGGAAATGAAAATGTAGACCTGTGAGATCAAATACAACTCATCAACTATCACTGTTGAGTTGGTTTTGCGATGTCATATATGAAATTTGTTCAAATTATTAAATCTTAGGCTTGACAATAACGCAAGGAATTCAGCTGACTGAAGCTAAAATGACAATCATCGAATGCTAAAGTCCTGATCTGAAAACTCACTCGCTAAGACATATTAATACTTTGAGTTTGATTTCTGGTAGGGTTCTGAGCACTCCCTACAGAGTAGTGAATAGTTGCCTGGTTAACGTCAGGATATGGTGTAAAGTGTAAATAGCATTTTATTATGAAAATACTCTCGGTCAGCAGTCCTTCGACGTTTAACTTGATTGAATGAAGCTGTTCTGAATATAGATCCAATCATTTATTTATTTAGAAAATATTATTAGGAGTGACAACAGATTTCAAAATTTTCCAATCAAGTCTGGTAATCAAGTTACGAATAAAATGAAAGCCAGTTAGCTTATGGTAAAAAAATATCAGTCGGTTAATGTTGATATTAAAGCATCGAGACATTGGAATGCATACGCGTTACAAACAATAAACCAGGTAATTGAACTCTCACTTTATCACACAAATATCGTTTCCATGATGGCATATTCTCTGTAGATAGTGTCAATTCCAATAACCAACAGTAGTAATGATAAGATAATACACTCTTCTTTCTGGCCGTCTCATCTTGTAATAGACCGGGAACACGTTGGATACCAGTACCAGGTAGTCCATTAACAAATGGAAAATATATTCCATAAGTTACACTCTCGTAAAATATCAATGTATTCTTGTCTGCTTGGCGAATAACATTTACCAAATAATCATAAAATGATAAGAGACTGTGACCTGCATTATCTGTCCGAATATAAAATGAAAAAGATCGGAATTGTAAGAATTGAAATAGATTTTGAGAATGAATATAAGTGAAAGTTGACAAAAATAAACATATCTGTTGCGGACAGAATGTTTTCGGGAAGATAGATTGTGGTAGGTAATGAAATTCACGACGCTCGTTCAATTTTATTGGGGACTTATTAAATGGGTCATCTTACATCTAAGCCTTCGTGTTTGTATTCAAGTTAAGAATATCAATATCAGGGAAATCTATTCTCTTCTAATAATCACCAAATGTTCTTCATTTGTAAGTCTTCTTTTGAGATTAAACGATGTGAACAAATCAATCACCCAACATGGCATCATGCATAGTATAGGTTAATGAGTAAGTCAATTAATTTTGGCGGATCTTATCTCGATGTTTGTTTTGTTGATTACATTCACGGTGGAAAAACAGACAGAATGAGTGATAATCGTAATAATGAAGATGGCGAATTCCGAAATCACACTGACTGAAATTATAAACACGTAACATAGTTCTACATAACATCTTTTTATTCTTAATACGATTGTCATAATGATCAATATTACTATCATTTTTTTGCCCATTTATTTATGTGTTCTAAATTTTCACCAACAAAATATTGAATAGCTAAAGACAATGGACAAATCGTTTTGTTCGTTGTTAGTTCACCTGTTGATATTAGTTGTCAGTGTTATAATATAAATTTTATGCTTATCATCTACTTTCTAATATTCAGATATGTTATTCAATACTGCAGTCGCCATATGCTGCTTCTGGATGAATCAGGTTAAAACTGATAAGATGTTCGTTTAATAGCTTTAGTAAATATTTTATTGATTGCATAATTATGTTTTGTGATTTCATTTTTATTGAGGTAATGAACTGACCAATGTCAGATTGCCATTGGTTACCTGGAAGCACTGGAAGGCCGTTCAGTCTTGAAATTTGACTTCTCAGCAGTGAGCATCCATGGTCCTGCAAGCGGGACGCGCACTGTTGAGAAATCACGTTTTAAGACGAGATGGCCATCCAGTGATTCAAGGTTTTCAATAGAATCTCCACAGTTTCCACAACTCTAAACTGATAATTTTGTTTGTTAGTGCAATATTGTCACAATTGCATGTTGCAAAATATGAGAGATATTTTCACATCCGAACAATGTCAAGAACAAAGCGACGTGAAATTCAAGACAAGATGACATGAAAGTGGTCGTTTTATATATTTGTATCAATCAGCAAATTTCTTTTGAAACTAATATAAATATTTGTTTGAATCGACTTTTTATATCTGCCTAGAATAATGTAAGTGAGAAGCCGCTCTATATGTTGGATTTTCGGTACAGATACTATCAAGATAATATTCTAATCCAAAAATAACTTAATCATAACTTCTATTGAGTCAGGTTTCGAACTGTTAGGTTTAGATTAATAACCCACGATATTTACTTCGATAAATGAATAAGCGAGACTTGCTTTAAACAAAAACTAACTGGAAGCTGTTAGCTTGGATAGATGTGAAAGTAATGAAAGAGAATGAATTCAGATATGGTTGCAAAGTCAAATTTCTTTCTTGAACTGCTGAACTCAGTTGTCTAAATCATACATAGATAAGTTGTTATTGTACGAATGACTCTGCCCGTTAAATAAGTTAACAAAAGGGCTTAACCAAATTAAATGTGAAAAAACATAATCGCACGTGATTTGGAATTGTGTCAAAATTAAGTCAATTATTAACTCTAAGGGTTAGCCTGTGAAACCGATATATGCCTACGCTGAATGTTGAGAAAATGGTCTACCTTTTACTTCCAAAATCATCTTAATTAGTTTTGAATGACTTCATTTTTAATAAAACCTTAATCATATTCCATCAATTTTAATGGGTATGACTGTTGCTGAATTTTTGTCTAATTACTAAAATCCAGGTTAAAAATATGTTGTAAATAATTGTTATAATTAAACGTTAACTTTTCTGAATAACATTTCACTCCATAGTTTAGCTAAAACCTGAACATTTAACTTAGGTGAAGATTTATTCGCAAGTGAAAACAAGATTTTCAATCAAGTCAAAAGACATGAAATAATGAATAAAGCAATATGATAAAAAATGTTCAAAAACAATACTAATAAAATCTTGCATACTTGTCACTTACTAGGCAAAAGAAGGAGTGGATTTTTATAAACATTTCCAGGTGGTGGTTCATTGATCAAATTATAACCTAAAACATTATCTTTCTTCCCGAAACGACTAGTTGTTATCATCCAATATTCTGCAAAATAATTCCATATTCCTGAAACATTTTTATATATACTTTCAAATACATGTCCACTCTCATATGTGACGTAGGTTAGAAACCAGTTCTTTTTACCTGGATCTTTCTTTAGTGGCCAAGGGTATTGGAATAAATATGGTGTGGCTCTATTTTATCCATAACCCAATTAGGCACAGCATCAATTGCACCTAGACGTTTCGATAATCCATCTTGATGAAAATCAATGATAACATAAACTCCATATAATCCAGCATTGTCGATAATCGTTTCAATAATATCTAAGTAGTGTTGACTGGTTTCATCTTCCTGTGGTTTTATTGCTATCCAGTTGAATTCTAAGCGTATAACATTAATTCCCCAATCTCTAAGTACTCTGAATGAATGAGGGTCAAGTAGTTTTGGAAAGTAAAATGGTGCGACTTTATGCACACAGTTGATTCCATGAAATAATTTAATAAATCCTCGTGAATCAACAAAGTAACCAGTATCATCGTCAATGGTGACTTTTGCATGAGCTTGTGAATTTAAGAATTTTGGTAGTAATATCATTATCCATGACAAACGTAAGAGTGCATCAACTAGAACGTTCATAATGTCTCCAAGAAGTTTATGTTGCTTTGAAGATCTTGTTGATCTCACCGAAGTGAATAAAAATTCCGTTTAAAACCACAAGGAAAATGTAATAGATTAGTGATTGACAGCGAATACTAAATAAAACGAAAAACATGTATTCAGTATTTTGCTGTTAAGTGTGTTCATCAGACATCTAGTAGTTGATTGACACTTACCAAAATGCATTTCTTCAATAACAATAAATATAGACTTTCATGTTTTATAGAAAATAGTGACTATTTTTTGATTCCATCTACTGAAGACCATATTACTTATTGAGAATTTAATGAATGGGAAAATTTGAAGAATGTTGAATGTATGGAATATTAAAGCATTGGAAAAGAGAACGGGTTTAGATGAGAAACATCTTATTTTGGTGGTATTTGAAATCTTTTCAATATGTTCAAATGCACTACGTTTTTCATTTGAAATGTAAATTCACTGTTTGTGTTGCGAAGTCCATCATAATAGGCATCTAACAAATTTTTCAATTCATTTCGTTTCTTTGTTTCTACTAGAATTATTACTGAGATCATTTGATGAGAAATATTAGAAAACATGACATACTTATTTCTATCTAATTCTAATGAAATCTACTTCATATTCAAAGCTTGTATTTTGACGAACAATAATATGAAAACCATCAATAGTAATTACAACTTAGATCTGTAGATGATGAATTTCAAAATGAACATTTACATTTAAGTATCGTAACACCTTGTTAATGAATTCAGTCTAAATGTGATCAATCTAAAGGAATGTTTTGTTTTCATTTTAACAAAACATCGAAATAAATATCTTTTATTTTGGAAACAGAAAGAAGAATATTTGTGTAGGTTTTCTTCTGTGACGTGTACAGAGAAACAAGAAACCCTGACAAATTACGAAAGCTATTTTTCGGGACGTTATTCCATTTTATTCAAAGCTTGTAAAACATTAAGATTTATTTTTGTCTCTAATCTATTCTACGGAAACTAAGCTTTCGTTCCATGTATGATTCATTACCATACCCTTTTCTATTCCGAAGCTATTGTAATTTAAACATAATATTTTACACCCTATTTTCTACTATAATTCCCAGCTTTGGACGTGCTTGTATTTTTCCTAATTATTGCACGTTGTGGTCGGGTTAATCACCTATTTATTCACGTACCTTTTTGCACTATTCTGAATTTGGAGAAATCAGGATATCGGAATAGATCGAGTAGTGTTCCAGTTGTCTTGTCTTTTCTCATTCGCGTGCTTTTCAGGTGATATAATATTTTTCTTCCTTCTTCCCCCTTCGAACTCACGTGTACCGGCCTCAACGTTAGGTCGGTCAGCCTGTCGCGCCAAGGTCTTAATATGGAATAGATAAGTATCATCAGCACCAAAGTGGGTGGACAGATCAAGATCATATTATTCTGAATAAAACGTGAATTTGTATTCTATTTCTCAACCAAAATGTTCTGAATTGTGAGTTTTATTCTCTAGTTGTACGTAACATCACATTATGCATTAACAGGGCACATAGGCCACAAGTTATAAGAAACTAAATGATAGACTTGATTGACTCAGTTAACTCATTAGGCCAATTCATTTGACCAATAATTGACAGCTTATCTATGCAAGAGATAAATACACAACACCTTCCTTATTTGTGATAAACATTTTTGTGTCAACGACATCCTAAACGCGTTTTGCATTTGAAATGTAAATTCAGTGTTTGGTAACGATATAAAATGGTCAATACACGAATTTTCATTGTTGGGTCCCACTGTAGCTAGAGATACCTAATCGTTTCTCTCGGTTTGACGGCTAGATGCACCTGTAACGATGGTACAATCGATAACAATCTTGATAAACTACCGCAGACACTGATCAACAATGGATATCCATTTAGATTCATTGAGGAAAAACCGAAGCTAAAACAACAACGAGTAAGAGTGTCCACAGCACCAAAGAAGACTCTTTTCATGAACATGTAGCTTTAGGGAGACACTGCATTAGAAATTCTGGAAAACGGACTTTTAGATCTCTGAGAGAAAAGTTCTGTGCGACTGAACGTCTCATTATCTTTTCTAATCCGCTTATGATTCGAAGTTTTGTGAAGGATATATTCCCACTTTGGGCGAAATCAATGTGCATCTATCAGTTTGCTTGCTCATGTGAAGTACACCACAGAATTTCCACAAGTCAATGATTCATATCAATTGACAAAATATACAAATTACGACAAATTCAATTTATTTTTACATATACGTCAGGTCAAAGGTAATCTGCGATCTTACAAACCGTTCTAGAAATAATGAAAAGTCTGTCGGTTGATATATTATTATGAAACTCTTTTCTGAAAACCTATGGACATGAATATTCCTACTTATTTTACATTCAGTTAAATACATACTTTGCAAGTATTCATTCAGTTATGACTATGTTTACAAGAAAGGAATTCTACGGAACATTAAAGCAACAACTCACAGTAATTAACAATGATACAATAATTAGATCGGTGGAATTTTAGCTCACTAACTGAATGAAGTTATTAATTATTACTAATAAGTTTTCTTAAATATTAATCACCAGAAAAATCCATCTCCTTTGTTCAACTACCACCATAGACTATTTCCGAGATGTAGGCCACAAATCAATCCAAAAAGCAGGTTTCAAGTGACTTTAAATTCAATGTAACCATGTAACAACCCTTTGACAACAAATGATTATCATAAAATGTGATATGACACTTCACTCAATGTAATGATGTTATTTCAATACGTGAAGCTATTTATTGTTTTCAAAATGTGTAAATCTATTTTATAAAAAATCAGTATACAACCAGACGATTTATTACTCAACATATCTGACTATCAGTCATTGTACAAAGAAAATACCTAACTTTCCTTGTTTAAGATCTGAATATACTGTGTTGTGATGAATGTAAATAAGTGAAACAATTTTCATGTTTCATACATTCTGATCTCTTGTTGAATGAAATAAAAACGATAAGGGCAAGATATACACAATAACATGAATTCATTATATTTCAAGGGTTCTCATCAGTTGAAAACGGCTTAAAAATTCGTTTATACACAGTAAACAATGAAGTTTAGTTTGAAATAAGGTAAGAAACAAGAAGTGAAAACAACATTTTAAACATAATAGTTAATATCATTATTAATTTCTATGTAAAATATGAAGTCACAAAACTCGAAAAGTGAAGTTACCAATCATGATAAATAGATAATAAATAAGAATAAATGACTAAACAATATGCAATAATCAAGGGACTTATTTGACATAAAATTAAAGTTGACATCCTGAGTGAATGTCAGTGGGTTTTTTTATTTATGCATTAAAGATATAATGTAATTCAATAACGCTAAAATAATATAGTTATAAGACAACTATATTACAATGAAAATGTGAGAGGATTGCCATACTTTCCTTCTGTATACAAAGGTTATGTTGAAAGCTGCAAGAAAGTAGATTGATGATAAGTTTTAATTTTAATCTTAGCACTGATAGGTTAGGGTTAGGGTTTAGGCTTAGGTTTAGAATCGAATGCCAGAAAATTCGAAATGTGAAATGGGTGCACAGTATATTACTATAACTAGGAATTTAGCGAATAAATTGGATGTCAACATAGTAATCATTTTGTTTATTATCAAAATAATAGTACTTATGATGAAATTAATATATTATATTACATAAAAATGATGATAACAAAATATGCAGTTCAGAACACCAATGAAAGATGAATTATATTCTTCTGTTAGGCATTCAAATGACGGAAGCTAGGGATTTTCTCAAAAGTGATACGCACAAAATTATGGTTATGACTCACCGACCATCTTGATTTTGCATAAAACTCGTCTGTCAGTCAAACAAATATAAATGATCCATAACCACTGTCAACATACTGTGTACCCTTAACGACAAAAAATGCTACAGCAACGAACATCTGTCCGAAAACCATATCAGTCTCAGCTCCTGAAATAGACTTGGCTGGCAACGAAGCTAACAAGAAATGATAATGCTGAACCAGATTTCCTAATTCTATGGGTTCAATAATAGACATTTCACTCGCAGCTAAAATGACGCTTTTGAATGGTGGGAAAACGGTACAGGTGAACAGAGGAGGATGAGGATTTGGAGTTAAAATGCATTTTATACCATTAACAAACTATTCTCTTTAAAAGCATGCTACTTGATCATGTTCATATTAATTGTTTGAGAAATGAATAGTATTAAATGTGATGATCAAGATAAACTATTCTGAGATCTGATAACTGCCTAATTTCAAGAATATCTTCATGATGTAATAAGACATTGGAATGCTTCTCTCAATTCTTCGATTCATTCACTGTTAGAACCATCGAAAGTTTGTGTATACTTAGCACATACAAAATGGCCTCACAAGTTGAAATTTCATTGTTCTACTCAATGTGAAGTAAAAATAAAAACTATGCATATATATAACTATGTATGTATTCTTGAGTCCAGTAACTCTTGGTTGTCTTCAGAGCATATCAAGAAAAGTTGAATAAAAGAAAAATCGACATATACACAAGATTAGAGCAAAGACTACAATTGCATAAACACATAACAGAAGCACCACTGGCTAACGTTTAATTACACGTTCTTAACTACGGTTTACAAGTATTTGGCTGTGTTAATTTGCTTGCATTGTCAACAAATGACTGCACTGCATGTTGTACTCCCGTCATTATATTTCTTATTATAAGGTAGATGAACGAAAACACCGAACCAACTTCAAGATGACAGGTCAGCCTTAAGTGATTTGGCCATACATGATATAACTAAAAATAATACCATCGAAGCTAATTGTGGGATAAAGTATGTAGGTGAATATTATCAGTAATTGTTTAATTATATTTGATTTAGTAGATTTATATGAGTTAGGTTGATTGCTTTAAAGAATAGGAATAAAGTATTCTCTTTCTATAAATAAGCACAATCCTTTCTTATTCATTTAAATT